TCTGACTGTTTTTTTTTAACTTAACCTAGTTTAAAAATTCTGATTCTCTCTTCTTAAAGCAGACAGATGTTTGTGTATAAAAACCCTACAGAAATTTATTATAAAACTTCACTTAGCATGATTTCAACAGTTCATGGATTGAACTAATAAATGTCAATTATCTCAACATGAGTATAGGTAAAGCTAAAAGAATATCTTGACTCTGCTCATCTATTTTGAAATTTTAAGTTACAATTATATTATTATTGACATAATAACTTAAATACATAATATGTCAGAAATTACTATTTGAAAATACTTCATTTAAGCCAACACAAATTAGCAGTGTATTTTTTCCTCAAATGAGCCAAACTGATTTTTTAAAAACTGTCCCCCTTTAAAAACAGATTACTTTCTCACATTATTATATGATTATGATTTCCCTCCTTTTGCTACTCATAGTTTCCTTCTACCTCCCTGCCTGTCTGAATATATTCCCTTTCTGTCTCTCATTAGAGAAAATAAGAATAAAACAGACTTATTAGGGATAATGATAAAATATAGCAATATAAAATATAATGACATAAAATTTTTTTAAAAAAATCACATTAGGTTCAAGACAAACAAACAGAAGGAAAAGAACCCTAAGAGAAGGCACACGAATCAGAGATGCACTTGTTCCCCACTCCGGAATCAAAACACTAAATTGGCAGCCGTTGTGTATATGCAAAGGACCTGGTACAGACCCATACCAGCCCTCGGCATGCCACCTTACTCTCAGCACTCTTATGAGCTTTGATCATGTTACTCTAGAGAGCCTTGTGTTCTGGGTGGTCCTCCATCTCTTCTTCAGAGGCTCTTGCATTTTTTCTACCTTCTCTTCTGAGAGATTTCCTGAGCCCTTAGGGGAGGGATTTGATGGAGACCTCCCATTTAGGGCTTAGTGTTCCAAGGTCTCTCACTCTGCTGTGAGTCTCTGTATTTGTTCCTGTTGCTGAAGGAAGTTTCTGTGATGATGACTGACCAAGGCACTGATCACTGAGCATAGCAAAATGTTATTAGGAATAATTTTACTGCTACATTTTTTAGACCAGTAGTATTTGGTTTTACCCTAGGTTCCTGGTTCTTCCTCACCTAAGCAGTGTTTGGATTCCATCTCATGGAGTGAGCCTTAAGTCAAATTAGATATTAGTTGGTAATTCCTGCAAGCTTTGTGCCAACATTATATCTTACAGGCAGGATTCCATTTTCGATCAAACGGTTTCTGGCTGATTTGGTGCTTACATTTTTCTTTTAGTATCCTACAGAATATCTTCCTCTACCAAAGAATGCTTGAACCTAGAGATGAAAGCAATGTAGGCAGCAGCTCAACTTCTGCTTGTTCAGTGAGTTGTGTAGGTGTTGTCTTCAGCAATGCAGCCTTGCTCTCAGTTTGTGGAGAGCAGTCCATTGCCTTGGCAACAGCCTGTTTGTTTGTGGATTACCATGGCACCACTTTGGCCAACAACTCAGTTATATGTAACCCAATCCCAACAATGGAAGCTTTATTTTGTGACAAGAGATGAGCCAAATTATTTTAATTTTGTTATGAACTCATTTTCTAAAGTTAATTGCAATTAATAATAAGACAAATAGTAGTATGTGTTTCTCAAAAATTTGTGGCCATAAGAATTGGTCAGTTGAATCTATAGATATAAACTATTGTAATTATATATTATAATAATGAATGTGTATGCTGTATAGTTGTATATAAATCATACACATACTTATATAAGTTGATTTAAAATATACAGATCATTTTGTACACTGGGTTTTGAAATGCCTTTAAAATGAGAATTGTATTCCAAAAATTGTATATATTTGTTAGTTAAATTATTTTTCAAAATTTATTATCCTATAATTGTGTTATATGAATACTTTCTGTAAGTTTAATAGTGTGTATGTGTGTGTCTGTCTGTCTGTCTGTCTTGTCTGTCTGCCTGAGTAGAAATCAGTTTGTACATTCTTGCTTCAATTATTGCTGGTTATCTGACAACTTGGTCCTCAAATTAGAATAACAACTAAAAACATGATATTAAACTCTCTTGCATCCTCTGTTGTTATTTTGGGAGAAACTACACATAGGTTCCAATATTCTACTGTAATTACACGTCCTTTCCTTTTAAAATTAATACTTACTCTACTACATTTAAGAGCAATGAAGTATTCTGGAGACTGCGTTTGGTGTTCCCTGTTCTGTGGATGTGCTTTCAGCATGCCACCCTTTCATTGGAAGGCGAACTTTCTATTGGTGATTTTCTCTTAGTTACTGGTTTTGAGCACCTCCAAATAAAAATCCCTACAGGACAGAGCATATTGCATGTACAATTTTCTAGAATTACAAACTCTGTCTTTTTTGTTTTGAAACCTTTCAAAAGTTAAGTTTCCTCAAATATAAGAATCTAAAACATCTATACTAAAATTAAGGCTCTCTAACAGGAAGGAACAGATGTTTTCATTAACATTGGGTGTAATTATTCAACTATAGGATTCAAAGAATAAAGCAGTTTTTTCTCACTTCAAAACTTCATTGTTTTTCCCCATATAACAAACTCTGAAATCTTTTCACAAACATTTCTAGTGAAACAATTCAACCCTGTATTTGATAAGGAAAAACTGCTTTTTCTTTCCCTGTTACATTCTATGGCACCTTGAAAGTTACAGTTAATATGACATTTTCACTGGTGACAATTTGAAACTAAAGAAAAAGGAACCAGGCATGGTATTGTTGCCTTTTAAGCCCAGCAGAGGTAGGAGTTTCCTGTGCATAGCCAGTTCCAGGCCAGCCAGGCTGTATAAGGATACACTCAAAATACAAAACAAAAAAAGCCGCACAACTTCTTTTTTGAATGAGTTTTTAAAAAATTATTTGATCTTATAAAATACAGCTTAAATGAACAAGAATTCTGTAGGTAATATTTTGTATATTTAACTAGTCATAATCTTTAGTTTTAAGGAGAAAGAAGATGGTTTTCATGTGTATCATAATACTTTTTCTATACTGATTGTGGAACGCCACGCAGGAAGTGACTGCACACTGCTGAAGAGCATGTGTTTCAGGAAATTTATGTTTAATTAGCTGAGATACTGTTTCTTCTATCTTTTCATTTCATGTTGATATTATTAATTTTTAATGAAAATAAAATGTTCTATGTTTAGTCATATCCGTGTGGTCAAAGAATTAGCATGCCCACAGCTGAAGTAATCTTAAACATTTAAGCTCTGGATTTTTTTTAAATAACATCACCCCTTTTGGATGCTGAAATCTATTTTAATTTTTAACGAAAGAAATAAAACAGCCAAATTATCAGAAATGCTCTGGAAGGATGCTTTGAAAAAAGAATCAAAAGGTTCAGCATGAGAACTGAGTCTGTTTCTGAACATTAAAAATGCTGGTCATAGCTGCACAGTCTGAGGTAGAACTAATATTTTTATATTACCCAACACAAGACTCTCATACAAATGACCTTTCACTTTTTAGAAGCCATGTAATGAGTGGCATAATTTAGAATCAAAATACCTTAGTATTATATACAAAAACTTAATCTCATTTTTAAACTGAACTATTCACAATTACTATTTGATATGACCAGGTCTATATATTATATATATATATAAAACCTTAGGTATTTCATTATAAATCAAAATTATAAGATATTATTGAACAAATAATTTAATTATTAAGCTTTAAATATAAAATGATGTTGAAAGTTACATAGTAAGGGTTAGAAATGTACAATTTAATTATATACTGTTTATAACTTGCTTTGAGGAAGAAGTGATATATTTAATACTAAAGTGCTTTTTTAAAACTGTATTTAATATATATATATATATATATATATTGAATGAAGTAAACTATCAAATTTCTACCTATACAATTTATTTTACCCTGGGATATTGCTAAGCTTTTAAAATATTCTTAAAATTTTATTTTCTTGTATATTATCTTAGTCCATACATATTGATTCATTCAAATTTTGATTTCACAAATATTCTTGATTTTTTTATGTGAAAAAATATTATTACAGGAAACACGTCTTAGTGTTTCATTGCTGTGAAAGAATATCATGACCATGGCAACTCTTTCAGAAGAAAACATTTAACTGGGACTTGCTTATGGTTTCAGAGGTTCTGTCCATTATCATCATGGTGGGGATCATGGCTGTGTGGTGGCAGATATGGAGCAGAAGTAACTGAGAGTCCTACATCTTGCAGGCAACAGAAACTGGACTGTGACACTGGGTGGTATCTTGAGCATAGGTGAACTCAAAGCCCACCCCCACAGTGGCACACTTCCTCCAACAAGGCCATACCTCCTAATAGTGCCACTCCCTTTGGGCCATTTTCTTTTAAACCACCACAAAATACTAAGGCCTTTTGGTAAAATTTTATTTTGTGTTTTGTATTTCTGTGTTCAGACATAACATTACCAGTTAGCGACCTCTTTTGGAAGAATGTTGAGATGCACTAGAAGGGTCCTAAAGTGCATTCTGAAGTAACATCTCCCGCTGTGCTTTTTCTACCTGTCTCCTCAGGAGACTGCTGGATAGTGTAGCAGCTTCCAGCTTTGTCCTCTGCCTACATCCTCTGTGGCTCTACTAGTGGTTAGAGATGGCAATCTCGTCTCTAACAAAGATCGCCTCTGTTCATAAATATTAGCATCTAATCAAGCTTCCATGTTCTTGTGACTCATAGAAAAACTGCATCATACTGTACTTCTGTTAGTAATGACTTTGGCAGTGTTCTTACGCAAATTAGGAGTTTGGATATTGATTTTTATGTTGACATCCATATGAACGTTTTCCTAAAAGGCTCAGAGTACAAAAGATAATTAGGAGATAGGAAAGGGAATATTTATGTCTGTTGTGAAATTTTTTTAGTATGCCAGTACATAGAGCTGTCACACAGTGCTTTTTAAGTGAAATACTCACTTTTGCAATATATGTTACTTTAATTTTTTTTTTTTTTTTTGTCTCTAGGAGATCCAAGTCAAAATGGGAAAAGAACAAATTCTACCTTAGACTCTGAAGGAACCTTTAATTCATATATGTAAGTGATAAGTACATGGTCACACAGTTTTACAAGGTAACGTAGAAGACACAAAGCTGTATAAAATTATGGTATTAGAATAATAAGAACTTCTAACCCTATCTTCGTCATATGTATAAAGAAAAGACAGTGTAATATCTGGCAGTCTGCCATCTTAAGAAATAGCAAAACAGAACATCAGAAATTCTTAAGTACCTATTTTGTCTTTTTGTTTCTTTAATGGTTTCAACCTTAGATTTTGCTTTAGTAAATGTTATGATTTTTTTACTTTTTGCATAAAAAAACAAAGAAAAAGAAAGATTAAATATTTCCAATAATATTTGAGTGATTAACCAAAATGTTTAAGTTCTGATTTTTCATTGTAGGAAAACCGCTGCAATTCAGTACTAGTATATTTAAGCATTATAAGTAGCAGTCAGATAAATGAAGAAAGTCTTTAATTGTGTTACATTGTCCTGATGATTAATTAGTTAGTTCTAATAGTGTATATCAACAGTTTGGGACATGAATATGCACACTGTACATTTGGCAACTCATTTGCATACTGAGCTTTCTTTGTGTCTGTATTCTATTTCCTTCATTGGAGCTGCAGTGTTTATTTCTTCAGCTTACAGGCATGCTGTTAGCTTTTACACTATAAAAATATAACTGCCTGTAGGAGGCACTTATAGGAAAATTGTGAATAATTTGATTATTACAGTCTGTTTATGAATTCCTGAAGTGACATCTTTATTTTCTAGTAGTGGAGGTTTGTCTAAGTTATCAGTCCGCCAGTTGTCAGTCATAGGACAAAAAGGTTTTGTTCCTGTGATACTATAGGGCTGTATCTCACCATACGTTCATTGTGATACTATAGGGCTTGTATCTCACCATACGTTCATTGTGATTCTATAGGGCTTGTATCTCACCATACGTTCATTGTGATTCTATAGGGCTTGTATCTCACCATACGTTCATTGTGATACTATAGGGCTTGTATCTCACCATATATTCATTGCGCCATATTTCCTTTAAATGCTGCAGTTCTTCTCTAAATCCTCCTTTTAGTCTAGAAGTACAATGTGAAATTTGGAATGTGACATAGTAAATAACAGACAAATTCCTATATGGACATGTCACAGCTGATCAAAATAACCATCAGAGGTGAATACAAAAGAAATGTAAGAATCCATAACTTGGTGTATAACTGAGGAGTGTTGATATATGTGAAATCTATAGTTATGGTATAATGATCTTAAAGTACAAGTGCAATAAGAAAGACGTGGAAATGATATTACGAAGGAAATTCATTTCCTTTTTATCTATGTAAATTTTATAATTGGTATCTTACAAATTATAGTAAAAGATGTTTTAATTTGAAGACAGTATTGTTTTTTAGTTTATTCTGTCCTTGACTAGTTTAAAGATTAAAGTATCTCATTATTAAATGATAATTTTGTTTTGAAAATGATTACAACTTACTGTACATTGAATAATTTTGTTAACTAAATATTTTTAATTAATATCTGTTATTGTTATATTAGAATATTAATTTATTGTAATTTAAAAGTGCAAGGTAAAAAGATCAAGTAGTATAGTATGCAAAAGTGGGTTTTGATAGTTGGCAGGCCAATGCTGCTATTAAGTGGTCTTACTGTATTTAAGGTGTGAATTAGCATTTCTTTGTACCCTGTAGGCAATAACTCTTACAATTTAATTAGCTTATTTTTGAATTTGACATTTAGGTTAAATGCAGAATTCACCGAAATACAGCTCTAGAGTATATTTTCATACTGATTTTACTGGCTAACGAAATTCTTGCAGAATAGAACCACAATACAGCAGCAGCAGAATATTCATTAAACTTACTTTTGAAAAAGTGAATTATTTTTGTTAATCATTCTATCTCTTTGAAACTTACTTGAAATAGGTTATCAAAAAAAGTATAGTTTCATGCTTTCAAAACAATGTTTTGTGTAACAGTTTTACCTTTGTGTTAGCTAAACTACCACAAAAATATGTTTTGTTGTATTTTTGTTTGTATTTTGTTTTTGTTTTTGTTTTTTTTTGTATTTGATATAGGGTTTCTCTACATAGTTCTGGCTGGCCTTGAGTGCACAAAGATCTGCCTTCCTCTGCCTCCTTAGTGCTGGCATTAAAGGCATGTGCCACCACTGCTGGCTAGAAATCTTCATTCTTATAGTTAAGACACTTGATACCGTAGACCTCATGTGATGCCAAGCATCCTCACACTGTTACCTAGGACCAGTATATCTGTAGAATGACTGTGGGCTTTCTAACTAACACGCCTCTTTCCTACAAATTTTTAAAGGACTGAGAAACGGTATATAAACGAATGCATTGGGCACCTGTTCCATTTTTGTAACATCAGTCTTATACTTTGGGTAATTATTTTTGTTTTTTATTCCTGGCCTTTATCATATATTACATCCTGATGGCAGTTTCCTCTCCCGCCACTCCTCCCATCCCTTCCCTTCACCACCTCCTCTCTCCCAGGTCCGCCCCCCTCCATTTCCCTTCAGAAAAGAGCAGGCCTCCTGGGGATATCAACCAAACACATCCTAACAAGTTACAATAAAACTAGGCACAGATCCTCATATCAAGGCTAAATGAAGCCACACAGTAGGAGGAAAAGGGTTCCAAGGGTCAGAGACAGCCCTTGCTCCCACTGTTAGGAGTCCTGCATTAACACCAACCTGACAATCACAACATGTATGCAGAGGATCTAGCTCAGATCCATACAGAGTCCATGTTTATTGCTTCAGAGTTTGTGAGCCTCTATGAGCCCTCCTTAGTTGATTTTGTAGGCAGTGTCCTTGACCCCTCTGGCTCCAACAATCATTCCTCCACCAGCTCCCTAGGATTCCTTGGTCTCTGCCTAATGTGGGTCTCTGCATCTGCTCCTACTGTCAGCTCCCTGAGGAAGCCTCTCTTATGACAGTTCGTCTAGGCACTGATCTAACAGTATAGCAGAATATCATTAGGAATCTTTTCATTGGCTTTCTCTTTTATTTTTTTATTCATTCATTCATTCGTTCGTTTACTTATTTATTTGGCCAGTCATGTTTGGTCTATCCTAGGTCTCTAGGCTGTCCAGGCTTTGGTTCCTAGCTCTCCAGGCAGTGTTGGGAATATACTCCCTCCATGTCATGGGCCTTAAGTTGGACTAGTCATTGGTTGGCCACTCCCACAATTTCTGTGCCACCATTACCCCAGCCCATCTTTTAGGCAGGGCAGATTGTAGGTTGAAGGTTTGGTGACTGGCTTGGTGTCCCAGTCTTTGCTAGCATCAGCCTTGTAGATTCCAGGTAGTTTCCACAGCACTAAGTCTCCACATAGCCCCCCATAGTCCCCCAATTCCATTTATCTCTCCCACTACTCTCCTACTCCACTCTCCCCAACCCACCACCTGATCTCTTCTGTTCTCATCCCAATCTGCCCACAGTCCACCCACAAAATCTTTTTTATTTCTTCTTTCTGGGGAGATCTATGCTTCCCCCTGGAACCCTCCTTGTTAGTTAGTGTCTCTAGGTCCCTGGGTCATAGTGTGATTGTCCTTCACCTAACAGCTGACTCAAGGCGTGCACACCCTAGACACTCCAAAGTAAGCTTTATCTCCAGCTGGCTCTGCATGTGCCTTTCTAAGAAAGGGAGGTCCTGACATCTCATTCTTTAGCATATTTCCCCTCCATTCTTTGCTCATCAATATGAATCTCTGTGTAGGGCAGAGGTAACTTTAGCTAATCTAAGTTTGTTGCTGTATATGCCTGAGTGGATAGTGGGAAGAGGCTTGCGGTCTGAACTGTGGCCCGCTCCTCTAGCTTGACCTTTTCGAGTTCACTTTGTTTTGAATATCTTTCATTTCAAGAATGTCTCATAGCCTCATGAACAGATCTCTGGCTTTTTTTATGTGTGTCACAACCTCCAAGGCATAAGGAAGACCTTCAAGTAGATAAGGATATCTCCCTAAAGCAGGGGTGGGGTGTGGGGGGTAGGGGGTGGGAATAGTATGTTCAGGACTGTCCAGGGGAAGCTTAGAGGCTCATTCCTGGGAGAAGGCATAAGTGATTCATAAGAAATTTTCCATAAATTCAATATCCCAAAATTGTGCAAATATTAAACGTCACCTAAATATGCAACAGGTGAAGATGAAAACCAAAGGTGGCACATCAGCCATCAGGTGACTCAGCTTTGCTGGATCTTTGTCAACCAGCTGTGCTGGCCCTATGACTTTTGCTGTTCCCATCAGATATGGCTGTGCCAGTTTGAAATAACGATTGCAGATGCATTGATTACTTTGTACAAGTCTTATCCTGTGTGCACACTTTGAAGTAAGGATAATAAAATATGGTTGATCTGAGAAGTGTCAAGTGGTACTGAATATTTGAATATTAATTGCTTTGTCACCGTCATCATCTTCGAGCTTTTCGTATTGGTTGGGAAATTGGAAAATATCTCCTTTTTTTTTTTTAAAGTCTTAGTTGAGCCTGGGTCTATCTATATAAGTCCTGGATGTCTTGGACCTCTCTATGTAGACCAGACTGACTTTAAATTCTGAACTGCCCACTTCTGCTTCTTGAGTACTGGGATTAAAGCCTTGTTCCACCATTTCCAATTTGAAAAGAATCTTGAAGCTCAGTCTCTGAGACAAAGTATTTCCAGGTGAGGGGAAGCTGTTGCACTGTTTAAATCACAGGTTAATTTCTGGAACTTGAACAAGTAAGTTCTGAAACATCACATCAGGAGACTCTTAAGTGTAGCTTTGTGAACCTAATGCTTCTTCTATAGACTTTTTAAAAATAGCCAAGTTTTATTTGGCATTTGTATCTTCATGTAGTTTTTCTTCATTGATTCAAATAGAACATGGATGGTTGTAGTTAGCACCCAAAGCACCAGAAAGGTTATTACACAATGCCTTGTTTTAGAAGTCTTAGTTAAAATTTGATTGTATATCTTCTAACCATTTAAAATGGAAAATGTCTAAAAATTGAGAAGACATC